GAAGAGGAGGTGGAGGAGGAAGAGGAGATTGAGGAGGAGGAAGAGGAGGTTGAGGAGGAGAAAGAGGAGGTTGAGGAGGAGGAAGAGAGGTTGAGGAGGAAGAGGAGGTTGAGGACAAGGAAGAGGTTGAGGAGAAAGAAGAGAAGGTTGAGGAGGAAGAGGTTGAGAAGGAAGAGAGGTTGAGGAGGAAGAGGAGGTTGAGGATGAGGAAGAGGTTGAGGAGAAGGAAGAGAGGTTGAGGAAGAGGAGGTTGAGGAGAAGGAAGAGAGGTTGAGGAAGAGGAGGTTGAGGAGGAGGAAGAGGAGGTTGAGGAGGAGGAAGAGGAGGTTGTGGAGAAGGAAGAGGAGGTTGAGGAGGAGGAAGAGGAGGTTGAGGAGGAGGAAGAGGAGGTTGAGGAGGAGGAAGAGGAGGTTGAGGAGAAGGAAGAGGAGGTTGAGGAGAAGGAAGAGGAGGTTGAGGAGGTTGAGGAGGAGGAAGAGGAGGTTGAGGAGAAGTAAGAGGAGTTGAGACAACCCCACCATGGCCATGGGGATGGAGTGTCCCCCCTCACCTGTCTGAGAGACCCCCGAAGACGATGCCGCCCACCAAGACGCCGGCCATGTAGAGCGACTGGGCCAACTGCTTCAGACCCCGGGAGCTGCACACCAGGTCCCACTGCCGAGGGACAAGGACATGTCCCACAAGGACATGGTGGGACAGAGACTGGGAGAAGACCCATCTGACCTCTCTCCTGTCCCCCAAAACTGGCCGTGGTGGCTGGTTGGGTTGATCCAACACAACGACCAACGGATGGTGAATGGAACCACCGAGAAGGTGCCAATAAACACTTGGCCACCCTTCCCAGTGTCCTCATGGCTGGGAGCTCCTTCCAGGAGTCATCTGACCCCTTTTTGACCTCCTTCTTGGTGGCCACCAACTCCCTCATCCCCCCCTTTTTCTTGTCTGCAGCTCTCATGGTGTTGAGTGCCTCCACCAGGGGTTGAGTGGGGAAGATGCTCCAGTTGGATGACATCAACGTCATGATGATGATGATGATGGACCCTTCGCTGGTGCCTCAAGGTAGGAACCACACACAAGATTGGGTGAAACGTGCCACCAGCCACCAAACCCCACCCCACCGCTGTCCTACCTCAGTGATGATGGTGCTGGTGAAGACACTGTGGTCGTAGGTCCAACCATCATGGCAGGGCTCTGTCTCTGGCCAGCTGCTGTTGGGAGCTGAGCTGTTGACCTCCAAAAGCCACCACTGTGGTGTCACGAAACGTCGGCACTGCTCACCGTGAGGAACCGAGACCTTCAGCAGGTCCTGGAGGTCAAGGCTGGTGGTGTTGGCCTCCCAACGAAGCCGGCAACGATGATCGCTAATGGCGGCCGTGAAGTTCTGGAGAAGGTTGTGACTGGCCATCATGAGGACGGGCAGGGCCAGGAGAAGCACCGAAGCCACCTGGAAACGTCCCATCCCCCCCACGTGCTCCAAGAGGCTGGCGAAAGCCATGATGCCACCGTGAGAGCCCAGGAACGTCCCGTAGCCATGCAACGTCCACCCCACCACACCCACAGAACCCCAAAAGGGATGGATTTCACCCCAAAAAACAGTGCTCCTCTGGCTTCCGTGGTGTCCTCAACTCCACGAGCACCAGGGGTGGTCTATATAAACATTCAGTGGTGGCTTGGAGTTAATGTTTGACATCTAAGGTGGCTTTTTTTTGGGGATTTTCCAACAGGAGAAGGTTAAAAAAGTGCAAGTGAGGACAACACCGAGGTGAGGACAACACCGTGGTGAGAACAATGCCAAGATGAGGACAACACCGTGGTGAGAACAATGCCAAGGTGAGGGGTGAGGACAACGCCACCGAGGTGAGGACAACACCACTGAGGTGAGGAAAACGCCGAGGTGAGGAAAACGCCGAGGTGAGGACAACATCACCAAGGTGAGGACAACACCAAGGTGAGGACAATGCCACCAAGGTGAGGACAACACCACCGAGGTGAGGACAACACCACCAAGGTGAGGACAACACCACCAAGGTGAGGACAACACCACTGAGGTGAGGACAACACCACTGAGGTGAGGACAACGCCACCAAGGTGAGGACACCACCACTGAGGTGAGGACAACAAGGTGAGGACAACACCAAGGTGAGGACAACGCCACTGAGGTGAGGACAACACCACCAAGGTGAGGACAACACCACCAAGGTGAGGACAACACCACCGAGGTGAGGACAACACCGAGGTGAGGACAACGCCACCAAGGTGAGGAAAATGCTGAGGTGAGGACAACACCACTGAGGTGAGGACAACACTGAGGACAACGTTGAGGTGAGGACAAAACCAAGGTGAGGACAACGCCACCGAGGTGAGGACAACCCCGAGGTGAGGACAACACCGAGGTAAGGACAACACTGAGGACAACGTTGAGGTGAGGACAAAACCAAGGTGAGGACAACGCCACCGAGGTGAGGACAACCCCGAGGTGAGGACAACACCGAGGTAAGGACAACACTGAGGACAACGTTGAGGTGAGGACAACACAGAGGTGAGGACAACGCCGAGGTGAGGGGTGAGGACAACACCAAGGTGAGGACAACACCACTGAGGAGTGACTTTTGGAGAAGAACCATTGAGGACCAACCTTCTTCATCCAGCTCATGGAGTTACCTTCAAGGTGGGCATCTCAGAGAGGGGGTGGGTCAACATATGGTCTTCACCCCACCTCCCCCCACCCCCCCTTAACCCATTGGGTTAAATTTTAATGGTTTTGTGGTGGAAAGACCCAAAGGTGCTGACGGAGGTGACCCTACTCGGGTCAACGCTTTCTCCACCTTGAAGGTTAATTTTTGATGAGGTTGGACCAACGAGGAGGTTGATGTGGCCAAGGGACACGTCAACAGTAGGAGCAAGGGCCAGGGTGGGAAGTCGGGGAAGGGGCATCATGGTGGCAGCTCCATGGGTCACTGGGGAGGGGGCTGGGGTGGGATTTGGGATCTTCTCATTCTTCTTCTTCTTCTCTGGAGTTTGAGGGACCTGTCTCCTGGGACAAGAGTTGGGTGGGTTTGGGGGTTATTGGGTGTTGTCTTGTTGGAGGTGACCTTAGGGACAAGGTTCTTCATCATTGTCCTACTGGAGGTGACCTCAGGGACAAGTTTCTTCATTATTGTCCTATTGGAGGTGACCTTGGGGACAAGGTTATGAGATGTCATTGAAGGTGACCTCCAACATGGGGGTTCTTGGGCGTCATCTTACAGGAGGTGACCTCAGGGACAAGGTTATGAGGTGTCATCTTATGGAAGGTGACCTCCAACATGGTGATTTTGGGCATCATCTTATAGGAGGTGACCTTGGGGACAAGGTTATGAGGTGTCATTGAAGGTGACCTCCAACATGGAGGTTCTGAGGTGTCACCTGATTGAAGGTGACCTCCAACATGGAGGTTCTGAGGTGTCATCTTATTGGAGGTGACCTCCAACATGATGCTGTTGGGCACCATCTTATTGGAGGTGACCTCAGGGACACGGTTCTTGGGCATTGTCCTATTGGAGGTGACCTTGGACATGGTTATGGGGTGTCATCTTATTGGAGGTGACCTTGGGTGGGTTCAGATAACACCTCGAGACGTTGTCCCCACCAGAGCTGTTTTATTCCTCTGAGGACTTCCCCTGCCCCACACAAGGAGGTCACCAGCCTGGGTCCTGTCCCCCCAACACCCCATGGTCCTTCAGGTCTCCTGCTATGGGGCCTTCTCCTGGAGCTGGAGGGGAATCTTCTCTTTGGGTTCATTCGTCTTCTTCCGTTTTGTCCTGGAAGGAGGAAGAGGAGGAGGAGGAGGGTCTGTGGGGCGTGGCAGGATGGAGCAGCCACCAGCAGGGTGGGGAGCAGCCTGGCTTGCCTGGTGTCCATCCACCTGTCCTCCAACACATCCCTCTGTCCCTCCAGCCAAAACCCCTTCATCTTGAGGTCCTTCTATCTGTTGTCCATCCTCCATCCAACCATCAGCCAACCATCCATCCATCATCCAACCATCATCCATCCAACCATCCAGCCATCATCCAACCAACCATCATCCCATCGTCCAACCATCATCCATCCATCATCCATCATCCAACCATCCATCATCCATCCAACCATCCATCACCCAACCATCATCCATCCATCATCCATCCAACCATTCATCATCCATCCAACCATCATCCATCCAACCATCCATCATCCATCCATCATCCAGCCATCCATTATCCAACCATCCATCATCCATCCATCCATCA